TTCCTCCCTCTCCCTCCCTCTCTATCTCTCCAGCTCTCTTCTCTCTGGTACTCTGTCCTGCTACCTCTAGCCATGGTGGCTTCTGAGGACTCCAAGCTCTATCTTCGCAACTCAGGGGGACCATTGGGCCCCACTTGGGTTCCCCCACTCTGTGCTGCAGCCTGGAAACTCTCTCCAGGCAGCAATTATAAGGCTCACCTCACCTGTTTCCTCTCTCAGGAATTACTGTCCTGCATCCCCTGATATTTATGCTAAAAACCCATTATTTCCATATTTTGTGTATTGTTTCTGGCTAGAGTATAAATCTAGTCCCTGTTAAGCCCTTTAAACTGGACTTGGCCATGGGATTGGATTGATCCAAGCTAGGCAATTAATGCTCTCTCTCCTGGAATTGGGATTCCACCATGTGGACATGAAGCCACAAGAAACGAGTGTTCAAGAAAGAGAAAAATGAAGCAAACTGAGAGAAGCAGAAAAGAATGGTTGGAAAGAAGGTTGATGGCTTTGCAGCTCTTGTTTAAGTTCTTTCCTGAGACCATAGCATTCCTATTATTGCATTTCTTGAGACATCCATGCCTTAGAATAAAATCCCCTTTTCTGGCTAAAGTGCATTCAAGTTGGGTTCTATTTGCAACCAAAGGGTCTGGCTCATACAGCACATCTTCAGGCCAAGGTGAGGAGGGAAAGCAGTTGGAAAGGAAAAACTGAAGCCCTTGAATCCATACAGCATGCCTCCTTGGATGGGGGAGCAACAGGCAGCACAAGTGGGCTTTGCTTCCTGTGCAAAAGAAAAAGAAATTTTGAGATGAAAAGACATCTCAACAGTGATGTCTTCTAGACAGTGATATTGGCTGTCTCAGTAAGCTATACAGTAGTGTTCTGTGGAACATGAGACAACAAGGTGGAATTTAAGTGCTTGAAGAGAATGGAAAGGTTGAGAGGAAGCCCTACGGGGAACACGCCTGGGTGGCACGCAGAATGGAACAGAGCATTGGGCGCATCGTTGGGTCCAGGTATGGTTAGAAATCATAGCTTTCTGGTGGAACCCACTTGGTTCATGTGATTTCCTCTGATAGTGAATGTTCAGTAGTCTAGTAAAAGGGACTGGGAAATGAACAACAGGATTTGTCAGGGTGGTTCTCCAGACTGTGTGCTGGCCCACTACTGTAATCACAGCAGTTCCTTAATCCTTTCTAAACCCCAAACACACACAAAACACGCACAGAGAAAGGCAGGCACACAGCTGCTAGCTAGGCTCTACCAAGCTTCAAGTACCTCGAGGCCTCTGAAGTCCAAGCAAACAAAGGAGCTTTTTAACACATGAGGTTTACGGGCAGCGTCAGGACTGTGCTTTTCAACAATACCAGTTCAGAAGATACTCATCACTTGCTTGACTGTGTGGTCCTATATCACCCAGTCCCTAGGTCTCTGCCTCCCTAGCAAGGAGTGAGAGTGGGGCTGAACCAACACCAAAAGGTAGCCATAAATTACATCTTTTATTTTCTTGTATCTTGCTGGTTCTCAACAAAGGTGGTACTCCCCTTCAGGGAATAGTTAGGGAACATTTGGGAAATAAGTGGACAATTTTGGTTGCCATGATAATTGAGTACCTTCCTGGCAAAGAGGGATGTGAGCCAGGGATGCTAGGCCCCTGACATCCTGCAACAGGTACTGAAAAACGAAGAACTGGCTGTGACTTTGAAATGTTCCATAGGACATTCATGTAGATGAAAAACCAATTTATAATTATCTGTGCCTAGCACCTGTTTCTGTGACACAAATAAACACAACGTATTTCTTGAATTTTCCAGGAATGTAACTACCATGTAAATTGAGGAAAGATTATTCTTTGTTTTCTCTGGCACTTTACCAAGAGTTTTTTACTCTTTCAGAAAATGATGTACCAATGGTAATGCTGTTTGAAAATTTGCATTTGAGTTGCCAATACCACACGCCATCTGTGTCAAGTTGTGTTTGTACTGTCACTCCATAGTGATTTATAGTTAGTCGCATGCACAGTATTGCTGTAAATGTTATATCTTTTGGGACAGTTGTACATGAGCATTTACAAATGGAAATACATATTTTATTGTAGATTACATTCCATTTATTTCTTCTTTACATTACAATAAAGTCATTATTTATAATTAGCATGCTAGTTTGGTAGGGCTGTCATAACAAAGTACTACAGACTGGGAGGCTTAAACAATAGAGATCTATTTTCTCACAGTAGCTTTGGAAGCTAGAAGTCTGGGAGCAGGGTTGGTTTTTTCTGAGGGCCATGAAGGAAGAATTTGTTTCAGGCCTCTCTTCTTTGCTTATAATAGATGGCTGTCTTCTCCCTGTGTCTTCACACTCTCTTCTCTCCCTAAGCGTGTCCAAATTTTCCCTTGTAAGGACCAGTCATAATGGATCAGAGCCCACCGATATGCTCTCATTTTAACTTAATTGCCTCTTTAAAAGTCCTCTCTCCAAATACAGTCGCATTCTGAGGCACTGGGGTTAGGGCTTCATCGTGTGAATTTGAGGGGGTAAAATTCATCCCATATAATTAGGTATGTAGATACATCATATTATATATGAATTTTATTTCAAGATAGTAAAAGAAGAATTATAGAAATGCTTCTTATAAAATGGAGAACATCGAGTCTGATAGGTTTGAGAATTAACTTATCAGTAGGACAATGATAAATGGTATGCCTCACAGGTAAGTGCCGCTTTTTACTTCTAATCACAAGCCCAACAGGGTTCACCCAGAACTGGCACAATAGAATTAATGGAGGGAAGTTAGGAACAGGAATATCTGGCTATTGGATAAAAGCAAGGTAAGAATTCAAACGAAGCTGACTCGGCTGGAGAAATAATGAAGAGGCTAGATGAGTACTTGGCTCAAAAGCCTTCAATAGATCCTATTTCCAAACCTTTTATAATCAGCGTTACTCTACTTTTCCAACCTTATTGCTCTTGCTCATGTCTAGCATGCTCCCCTGCTCGGGCAAATTTCTGCCCGAAGAAATATCTTCATGTTATGTTTCTCTATCCACGCGATACCATGACTTTTTTCCTTCTCTCCAAATCTCTGCCAGTTTTCAAAGTCCAGCTACAAGATTTTCTCACCTTGTAGCTTCCTGAAAATTCCCTGAAACAGATCAAATCGAGCAATTACTAGGTAGAGGAGAACCTGAAAAGGTACACCTGAAGGCCTTTTGAGCTTCCTTTGCTCGGCCCGCTCCAAACTCTTTGGGGTGTACTTTATTTTCTAATAATGGCCCTTGAGCCATTCTCTACTGCTCGGGCCTGATTCTGCTTCTTTGAAATGTATTTTTACCGCTAATAAACTCCTTTTCTGCAACTTAAAAAAAAAAAAAGATACACCTTAGGAGGCCATGAGGAAACAGGAGTCATAAGAAAGCTGAAATTCTCACTTACAAGTTATAAGGCAGCAGAACATATGCATAAACATATGGAAGGCCAAAGGAGTGAGAAGA